GACCCCCACCCCCAACCAGCTCCTGCTCCCCCATCTGGCTCCACCGACCCCCCACCTCCAGACCCTCATGGCCGTGTCCTTCTCTCTGGGGACGGGGGACAGGAGCGTCTGAGTCTGGCCCAGCAGAGGCTGCAGCTGGACCATGTCCGACAGGACCTACCCTCTGGTCCCGTGGCACCGCTCGCCCAGGCCCAGGGCCTGGCAGCCTCCGGCCCGAGTGGTAAGTGGCCCCGGAAGGATAGACGTTGACCGTCAGGTGGGCAGTGCCAGGAGCATCCTGCCCACACCTCCCTCCACTCCAGTGAGGGGCTAGCTGGTTTTAACCCCTTCCCCAACAATTTTTTTGTTAAAAACGTTTCTTTTTCAGACTAATTTTTTTATTTTGGTTCTATATAGTATTTTTGATGCTGGTTATGAAAACAGTTTGTAACTCGTCTTCCTATAAACCATATTTTTTTACCATATTTTCTTAGTATACTCGTCGACGACTGAAAAAGAACATTTTGTGAAAACGAGTATACACGTTTCTGCCGGGGAAGGGGTTAAAGTCCTCTCGTTAAAACATCTTACACAAGGAATGCATGTCCATTATAGAAAAATACATTTGGCCCCAGCTGGTTTGGCTCAGTGGTTCTTTATAAAATAAGTATATGCAATAAGGTATGAGTTTAGGCTTTTATTGTGAAATCAATAAAAATATATTTTTTAAAATACATTTGAAAATAGAGGGAAGAAAACTTTTAAAATAAAATGTCACTCTCAACCGCACACTCTAGAGACAACCACTTTTTTTTTTTTTAATATATTTTATTGAGTTTTTACAGAGAGGAAAGGAGAGAGATAGAGAGTTAGAAACATCGATGAGAGAGGAACATCGATCAGCTGCCTCCTGCACATTCCCCACTGGGGATGTGCCCGCAACCAAGGCACATGCCCTTGACCGGAATCGAACCTGGGACCCTTCAGTCCGCAGGCCGACGCTCTATCCACTGAGCCAAACCGGTTTCGGCGAGACAACCACTTTTAACGTTTTGGTGCGTAGTGTTCTAGACTGCGTCAGTTTAAAAAACACAATTGACATCATATCATATACTGTTTCGTACCTTGATTTTTTAATTTGGAAATATACATATAGAACATGTTTTCGGAGCAAAAATTAAACATTTAACCATAATTTTTAATCAGTATAAGCTTCCATTATGAGGCTGTTCCATATTTTTAATGATTTTCTACTGGGTGATTTTTTTGTCACTAAGAAAAACAGCACATCAGTGAAAATCTGTGCATGTGTCTCTGCACTTTTGCCTGATTATTTCCCTTGAATAAGTTCCTAGAATTAGACTTTCCAGGTAAAATCCCCCGAGCGTTCTCAAAGCCCTTTGAGAGTTGGTGGAGAAGGTGGGTCCTCGGTGCACCCACCGCGTGGTCAGAAGGCCCCCGGGAGACAGGCTGGGGCCCCCCTGCCCTCCCATCCACACGTGGTCCCTGACCTCCTCAGCCTTTTCAGCCATCATGGCTCCTGCTCCCGCCAACCCTCAGGGCATCCAGCCATCAGCCACCCCGGGCCCCTCGCTTCGCCACACCAAGCTGGTGCTGCTGCAACACACAGCTGAGGAGGTAAGCATCCCATAGCAAAAAGGACGCCACCAGGCCCGCCACTCCCCTGGACCGGGGTCCTCGTGCTCACCTTGGTGACAGGCAGCTCAGGGCAGTCAGAGAGGCACACGTCCTGGCCCTGAGGAGGGCTGGGCCCACCCCCGGGAGGGGACCGTCTCAGACCTGTCCCGTCGGCCAGGTTCTGTTCGAGCCATTGCATATTCTTGCCAGGGAACCTCACAGCAACCCTGTGATAGCAGTGGCAGCATTTCCTGTTTCAGGCTCTGTACTGAAACGCCCCCCCCCAGCCCTACAAGGCAGGAGATGCTCTTCTCTCCAGTTTGCAGACAGGCTTAGAGAGTGACGTTCCGTGCTAGCGAGCGGCCTTGCCAGAACCTGGTCTTTCACGCCAGTGCGCCTGCTCCTTCCAGGCCCCGCTTCCAGCTCACAGCTTCCCAGAGCCAGGGAGTAGTGGGGAGGGGCCTGGAGTGAGGGCTGGCCCGTAGCACCCGGGGACCCACCTACTCAGTCCCTCGAGCCTGTGTCCCCGTTGACGGAAGCGGGACAGGAGGGGGCCAGAGGGGGGCTCACCCAGCTCTGCCTTTCAGGACCAAGACTTCTTGGAGAATGAGCAGTTCTTCCTGGAGACCCTGAAGAAAGCCTCCTACAATATGACATCCCACTCAGCCTAAAGGACCCTGCTGCCTCCTCAACAGAAGACTCGGACCCTGACACTCTGTCCTAGCGCCCCCTGGCTGCCAGCTCCAGGGAGGGGGTGCCCAGGGAAGGCTCTGAGATGCCCAGGGCCTGATAACAACTCTTCAAGTAGACAGGGTACAAGGGCATTCCCACCACCGCAGCTGAGGCAGGCAGGTGCCCCCAGGCCTTGGGCTTGACAATGGCCTCTGGGGAGACACAGTGCTGAGTGTCTCTGCCCCCAGAACTGTCAGCTTCAGCTTTGGTTCTCTGGGCCCCTCCCCTCGTGGGTAGGCAGGTGGTTGAGGGATCTTTTCACCTGGGCCTCTTCTGAGGCAGGGGGTCTTCTCCAGGGATGCCCCGAGCAGCCTCCTGCCCTCCCACCTGAGGCCAGCAGACAGCAAAGGCCCCCTCCCGAATGGGGACGTGGAGGCAGACCATGTGTTTTGAAGGGCCTCTGTCCTCTTGGCCAGGGATGGGGTGCAGGGGCAGGAGAGCGTGGGAATTGCAATTACTTGTGAATTACTTGGAAGGGACATGTCCTGGTGAACATGAAGGCAGAGCGGTGAGCTGAGTGGGCCCTGAGCAGGCAGTTTGTGTGTCTGTCGCAGAACAGCTTTCGGGGGGAACTTGTTTACCCACAATCTACAGCCTTCATCTTGGACCCATTAAAGTGCTATCTGTTTTTTAATCCAACTACCTTTCATTTCTTGCCCTTCTCTTTCTGGTGCTACAGTTTCACTCTGTATGTACGTGTCCACAAACGAAACAGAATGTTGGTTTGTGTGTTCGCAGATCTCTCCACCCCTGGTCAGTGTGGCTCGGTTGGAGCGCAGTCGTTCCATACACTGGAAGGCGGTGGGTTCAGTTCTGGGTCAGGGCACGTGTGGGTTTGACACCTGGTGCATGCAGGAGGCAGTCAACTAGTGTTTTGATGTTTCTCTCTCCCTCTCTCTAAAATCAATTTAAAAATACCTGACATTTTAAAAATATCTAAATGGTATTATCCTATACCAGAGGCCCAGTGCATGAAATTCATGCAAGTGGCTCGGCCCTCGCAGCCGTGGCAGCAGCCTCGGCCCTCGCAGCCCCGGCTTTGTCCAGGTGGTCATTTGGCTGTCCAGTCTAATTAGCATATTATACTTTTATTATTATCTGTACTAATAAAAGTGCGGGGAGTGGAGGGCAGTTAGGGCAATTGGGCCAGCAGGGGAGCAGTTAGGGGCATCAGGCTGGCAGGCAGAGGCGGTTAGGGGTGATCAGGCAGACAGGCAGGCAAGCAGTTAGGAGCCAGCAGTCCCAGATTGCAAGATGGATGTCCTGGATTGGAGAGGGTGCAGGCCAGGCTGAGGAACCCCACCACCACCACACACATCCTGTGCACAAATTTAGTGCACTGTGCCTCTAGTAGATGATAAAAGGCTAATATGCAAATAGACCGAACGGTGGAATGACCGGTCACTATGATGCACACTGACCACCAGGGGGTAGATGCTCAATGCAGGAGCTGCCTCCTGGTGGTCAGTGCAGTGCCACTCAGCCAGAAGCCAGGCTCACAGCTGGTGAGCGCAGTGGCAGTGATGGGAGCCTCTCCCACCTCCACGGCAGCACCAAGGTTGTCCAACTGCTGGCTTAGGCCTGCTCCCCGTGGGGGAGGGAGGGGGGAGCCTAAGCTGGCAGTCGGACATCCCTGAAGGGCTCCAGACTGCGAGAGGATGCAGGCCGGGCTGAGAGACCGACCCCCCAAGTGCACAAATTTTGTGCACCAGGCCTCTAGTATTGTATTTATAGTACCAATAAACCTTGTTTTTCCGCAACTTTCTTTTACATTTAACCTTGTTTCATGTAGCTGCAATTCATGAATTTTAACTGCTGAATACTATTTCATTGTTTGAATATACCACTATTTACTCATTCTTTTGCAGATGGGCATTTAGGGTGTTTACAGTTTTATTGGGATTTTATTGTAAACAATAGGGCCACGACAGTGCTGGGCATGCCACCTTGGCATATATGTAAGCACTTCTCTACGGTAAATACTAGAAGTAGAATTTCTAGGTTACAGAATATGTGCGTAATTTTACTAGTTAAAACTGTACTAATTACTGGCAAATTGCTCTGTAAAGCAGTTGGACCAATTTACCCTCTAACAGTGGCCTTCAATGCCTATTTAGAACTGGCCGGGCCTGGGACCTCCCGCCTACAAGCTACACACCGTGGCCAGAGGGTCTGAGGCTCAGGGAGCTCCGCGCATCGGGGCATCTGCCAGGCCGGGCCTACCGCCCCGGTGTCTGTGCTGCCCCCGCGTGGCCGGCCGCGGGCAGAGTCCCGACTGCTCCCAGCTCCGCCCTGTGGTCCTCTGAGCACTTCCGGGACCGGGAACCCAGGGCCCTCCACCGCCTCTGGCGCCTCTGGCGCCT